GTAAATGTTCTTACTCCACTGGCAGAAAAGTTTGACTTAATTTGAGTCAAATCTTTAGGCTAACAAGATAAATAAATCTTACACATTCTGAAAACAAGATTATTATTCTTACACAATCAGTTCTTGTTTGGTAAATCAGTCTCAAAACAAGATCAAAAAGACTTTTTGGCTGGAWATAAGYTTTTAAAKCTTGGTWAGATGGACAGTTTTTGCAGTGCAGGTTTGATTTTGTTCTTTACCAACTCCCCAGATAAGTACTTTGTGTGTTTCTGCAAACTCAAAATCAGTTATTTGCTGCAGCTGAAAAGTCACAGGTTTTTATCTCAGCACTTTCACAGTGTATGCACAGAAACATTTAATACTTTTTAACACCATTTTTAACACCCTCACAATGTTTTTAATGCTAACACATCACAGTTGCAACCCTGTGAACTTTGGTTAACTAATTATAAAGTAATAAATTAGTGTCATTTTCTTACTTAACTTTTGTAGTAGGTGTAGTATTATAACAGTTACTGGATACAGAGTTACTTCCTTGCCTCAATAAAAACACTYYCCTATAAACAATTATTTGTTATTTAATCCTCACCCAAGACAAAAAGTGATTTCATTGTTATAAGATGTTTTTTTTAGATAGACTACACACAGTAGTTGTTCAAAAAAACAATACCTGGTCAGATGCATTTATTACTTTTGAACAACCCCACAAACACTCTGCATTTATTTGCAGGGCAGAAACTTGATGCCACTTCAAACAAACAAAAATGCTAAGAACATGATTTACTCCATATATATTATTGTACGTATGTGTCCTAAATTTAGCAAAAGGAAGCTGAACCTCCCTCCTAACTTCTGTTTACCTCTTTAAGAAGAGAGTTTCTGCGCATTTCCTCTGTTTTAATCTCACTGGAGTCGAGCTTCCTCACATCCTGGTACATAACAGGCTTCAGGTCCATGGCCCCATAGAGACGACCCTGCAGCTTCCTGAACAGAGACGCTAAAGCCCGGGGCAAAAGGCCTGCCTCCTGACCACCACCTGAAGATTCATAGTTGAGGTAAGGTTAAGTTTGTTTTAACACYAGATCAGTTTATGAAGCACATCATTTTACAGAACCAGACACAAACCTCTTAATAATACCTGTGCTATTACGTCCAAACTGTTTTTCCAAGATAACAATATGAGTACCTTGGATCGTGTAAGTCTTTCCAGAGTTGGTGACGCCGTACGTGTAGAGGAGTCGGTTCTCTCCTTTCAGAACATCCGTTACCATCTTCTTCATCGTGCCCTCGTAAAACTGCTGCTGAGTCGTCTCTGGAGCAAAAATCTAAAACGAAAAACAAATAAAAAAAGCTCAGCTTTTGTTTTGGCATCAAAATTATTGTAACAGAAGGCTTTTCTCCCYCACTTTCCTTAATAATTACCAACCCTGATGACAACGAACATAGTTACTCACAARGTGATTCAGTTTGGGATGAATATTCATTTTCATCCAGGCCACACTGTGTTTTGAAGCTTRGTGTCAAGAGTTCCAAGCAGGAAATAAACATTTAAAAACAGCTTGTAAACCCAGCAGGGACTCCCCCGTACCTTTGTGAAACTGAACTTGTGAATGCTCTGGGTGATGCCCCTCTCTGCTGTCCTCATGTTCTGAGATTCCTGTGGCGCTTTGAGCAGCAAAGTCTCTTCATCTTGGACCATCACACAGCCCTGAAAGATGGAGCCATGAGTCAAGAGTACAAGCAAAGCAACAACTGTACACAGACAAAAACTACCCAGAAATGCCTGATAATTCTAATAATCACTTCATCGTCTCACCTGTTCTTCTCCTCTTTGTCTCTCCGTGTCAGTAAGTGGACGAATACGCAGAAAAACCTTCACTTTCTCTGTGGTTCCTTCATCAGAGCTTCCAGTCTTTACTGCTACTTTCTAATTAAACATAAAAAAAGATTAACTCATTTATTGTTTCATCATTTGTTGTGTTGACAACATTTAGATTAGTCACATTAAACCCATTGAATATTTTAAACTGAACAGGTGTGCTTTAACACTGAGCTCACCTGTTCTGGGTTGGTCGGATGAATATCCAGACCCGGGGAAATAACAGAGATCTCAGGTAGACGAGGTCTGACCAGGCCTCCAAATTCTGCTGCTGTAGACTCAAACACAGCTAGTTCCTCCTCCTCGTCAAAGGGGAGTCCACACGGAGAGGACAGTGCCAGCGCCATGCTTTTCTTCTACAAAGAGATCGTATTAATGAACAACACTGGGCTATGAGTYATTCTGGAAAGTTACTTAATTACACCTAATTTTTTTCACACATATTGGATTAAGCAGTTTTTAAAGCACAAGACATCCACTAAAACATAGTTTTAGTCATTAACAAAGTTATATTGTATATTGAGTATATTGTATTGTTTTTATTTTATATAACGACTAATGAAAGCAGGTGGACATGAGAATTTTTAAAAGCAGGATGAATTCCAACAATTGCTGATACCATTACTGAAGTCCAGCTGTATCTTTCCAAAGTATCAAGTCATTCTTTGGTATACTGGAAGAACCAGAAACTCTTATCCACACCTTTACTTCCTTCCTCTTCTGTGATAAAAAGCAGTCTCCAAAGCAGGAGAACTGGTCTCAATAGAAACAAGATCGCCTCAGGCCCAATGTGGTGCAAAAACCTCTGTTCCTATAAAACTGTGTAAATCCTGCCTTGTATAGAGCAATGGTTCCTAAACTTTTCAGCTGTTGACCCACAAAATTTTAGAAGCAGAGACCTGAGCCCRCATCTGTTGTAACAATAAATATTGTTTTTACATCAAATAAATGAACGAGCATTTAACATTATTTATGACATTATTTTTGTCCATTCTAAGTACACTAATCTTATTGTTTTGCAACAACAAATGCAAAAAAATGTTGTTGGTTGTCATTTTTTAGTATAATTAATTCAGAAAATATTTTCAGGACCCCACCTTGATGTTTCAGGACCCCACTTTGGGTCCCGACCCCAACTCTGGGAACCACTGGTCTAGAAGAAACTGATCTATTTAGCAAATAAATGCTGAAATATAAGATTGGCAGAATGAGATGTAACAAAAATGAAATAGAGTTTAAAGTTTAAAGATTTCTTACGCTATATTTGCATTTGCATATAGTAGTTACAATACACAGCTCCTTTACGGAAACCATATTTGTTTCAGCAAGATAATCATCAATTATGTCACAATACATATAAAAGTAAGGGAATTATTTAAAGGACATGCCAAAAAGTGTAATTAATTAGGGACTTATTTTGCAACACACCGACGCTGAAACTGACAGCAGACCTTCAGATGTGCATTTCAAGGCCCTTAATTTGGTGTTAAAAGAGACTCTTACTGAATATTGGGCAAATATTACAATAACATAGCTTCTGGTTTTGTAATATGTGGGTATTATAATACTGTGGGTAATTCTCAGAAATCTGGGGATCTTTGACAAAATTCAAGAGGACAGGACCACATACTTTTCAACAAAAATGATTCAAATTATACAAAGATGACACTAAAGTTTGGAGAAACTTCCTTCAGTCCAGTATCGTCCAGCTTTGTCTTTTTTAGTAGTTTGTTAGGACAAAGACTTAAGATAATATGACTTCAACAGCAATAAAGAAACAAAAGGGTGAATCTGAATTCAGAGTTAAACTCTTATAAGCCGCCATCACTGATATATGTTCACTCAGCTGTGTGACACTTCATCGGGTTGGCTGCGACTCAGTTTCAGCTGCCTGCCTGTGTTCACTGAGTCAACCATCTTCTGTAACAACTTTGTTAAGTAGAAATCTTAGCTCATTTGAACTAAAATGTCCCAAAAGTCACCAAAAGTAAATTAATTGGGGGGATTTTGTTGTTTAATTTGTCACTGGTTTTGCATCTTCTTATTTTGTTCTTAAGAAAACAACAATGAACTCAGATGATTTGCTATTATAGTTGGCACTTTCCAGACAGAATCCAGAATTAGGCTTTAGCCTCCCAATCCATAGAGTGTAAAAGGAAACAAACCACTAGAGGACAGTGGTGTGGTGTGGTAAAAGCAGGTTTCCTTTGACAGCAGCTACACAGTTTTCTTCTCTATTAGTAAAAAGTATAAAAAGTCATTTGGAAGATAAAATACTTTGAGACTGAGGAGCAAGCAGAACACTTCCCACAATTCGAGGAAAATAATGTTTTTGTTTCAATTGAAAGCATAATAAAAATTGTTGTTATGAGGTTGTAAATGATTCATATCTAACCGTCAGTTGTTCCAGGAGTCAATTTCACAGCCAAAGCTGGGTCATGCTGCTACAGATCCCAAATACAGCAGCCAAACAGAATAACTGAAAATTAAAATAACCAAAGTGTTGAGCCTGTCAAAGATCAAACCTTAACCCAAATAAAATACTGTGCACGGCACTGCAAGACCTAAGACAGCTGTGTACCCTCAAACCCTCAAAAACTGAAGCTACATCATATNATAAAGGAAGAAACCTGCCAGAAGTGTCACTTGAAAATACAACAGTAATTTTTTTTATAAAACAAATGAGGTGTTTTACTTGTAAGCCCCCACTTAAGTAAACTCCTCTGGAGCCAGGTCTGCATGCACCTTGTTTTAAATTTGATCTCATTGAAAAATTATAGCCTACACCTTGTTGTCTAAATGAGCAAACTTCAAAAATATACATCGACAATAGTGAACACAATATGTGTGCACTGGTTCATTCTCTCTACCAAGTCATGTATCATTTGTATTTGACAAATATTGTTTAAATATTATGTTAAAAACACTTTTTTCTCAACATCCGGTTAAAAATTCTGTTTAAGCTAAAATGTCC